AAAAAAAAAAAAAAAACTAGTAAATTACTACTAAAAGTAGTTTCCTAGTTTTCAGAAGTTTTTCTGCAATAAAGAGACTCAGCCTAGTGATACAGGTTAGAAAACAGCAATAGATCCAAACCCTTTGGAAATTTGTGAACATGCAAAGGAAGCTGGGTCCTTTGAACAAGCTGTCTCTCTGGCCCATCTCAGTGAACATGGACTGAGTTTTGTGCTTTTGCACAAAAAGCTCTATAGTCTAATAACCAGCTTTTGGAAAGGAAACAGCACCAGCCCACAAAACACCTTCATGCTGAGCACCTTTAAGAATGAACCCTGTTTGCTGGCTCTAGCTTGCCCTTTGAATAATGATATGTCATCTGCTGTATATGACATTTTGGATTTTCACAAAAGGCAAATTGGCACCACAGATGCAGCAATCTCTTATTATAAACACACAAAACCTACAAACAAATGGAGAAATGAGGGTGGCTCTAGGTCTGTTAGAGCAACTGCACTTTCTAGTTTGGTTGCAGCTATTTCCTGTCTGATCTTCCTAAGTAATCTAAACCAAACACTCAACTACTAGGAAGGAAGGCAAGCTGCAAGAAACATCATTGAACAGAGGTAAACAGCATGAACAATGGTAGGAAAGGTGCCATTCCAGCTCTCAAGCTTCACTTAGCCTCTCCTGTTGCAGCAGAGGCTCAGCAGTGTCTGGAGCTGCAGGTTAATCTGAAGACCCAGGTTAAGTCAAGGTAATTGCACTGGTGCAAAGGTCTCTTCCCAGTTGCTGCAATGGGATCTGAATGCCACATGGATCATTTTTATTGGATGTTGCTCAAAATGGTTTTAGTTAAACAAACAAATGTTTATTAAAGTTCTGTAAAAGTAAATTTACATTTCTTGGGTCAGTTTTCAAGTCCAGGAAAGTCTTGGGAATAAAGGCTCACGTGTAAAAAAGTGGTTATATTCCTTTCCTCTCTCTCCTCCTTCCACCTTCTCCTCCTCAAACAAACAGTGAGCTGGCTCCTAAATTTTATTTAATATTCCACTCTGTTGATATGAAATTAAATGATTTGCATTACTATGTTGCTGTTCACAACCTGGAGTAAGATGCTGAAATGTTACTAAATTTCAAATGCAGCGCAAGTAGCAGCATAAATGGAACATCGGAGGAGTGAAAGTTCCCTGCCTTACAGCTGTGCAAGTTGGAAATACTTCTGTGCAAGTCAGTCAGGGTCCATCCTCTGCTGTGCTTTCCTCAGGGTTAGGGAGAAAAAGTGTAAGACCCCTGCTCTCCCAGGCAGAGCAGAGACAGGCCTTCAATGCTTGGTGCTGTTACTAAATGGTCACTTCTGCATGCAGAGGAATTCAGAGAGGAAAGCAGGTACACTTAGGTATAAGATAACACTCCATTTTCTTCAGGCTTATCTCTGTTTTTTCTTGAAATGCTCGCTTTTTTATCTTTCTGAACTTTGAACTCTGCCAAAAGCACCATCTGGTGTTGAGGTACCTTGCAAAACCTTTCCCCAATTCTTTTATTTGGATTAATTTACCCTCATAATGAAACATGCCATTATAATTCTGATATATCATATCTGATATATCATACATATATCATATGTACAATGGAAACTGCCTAAAAATATTTCTGCTTGCAAGAGATTGGTGAAAAATCCCAAAGTTGTACTGTAACTACAGCTATTAAAGTTTAAAAGCAAAAGTTAAGAGAGTGTGCAGCTCACCAAGCAGAGGATCTCTGTGCTCAGCAGTGAAATGAGGAACAAAAAATTGTAGCTGGTTTATGGAGCTTCTTTTGTCAGGCTGATTTTTGTCTGAGGAAGGAGTTCCAATGACTACATATGCAGAGCTAGCAAGGGGTTTTCAATGGCACTCACTCATATCTTTACAAACTATTACTGTTAGTGTTAAATTCTCTCATCTGTCGTATTTTGATTGAATGGGCCTTGACAATTGTTTTAAGCATGGTGGCAAGAAAGGGAAGGAAAGCCACTAGATGGCATTTTTAATCCAGTTTTTACCACTGTGCAAGTTCAATTGCTGTCCTAAATGTGAGGCCTCTGTTCTCTCAGTCAGGATGGTTGCAATCCCAGGAGAAGGAAAGTGAACTCTTGCTGGAATAATTACAGTCAACTCCCATTTTTCCTTCAACACAACAACTTGGTAAAAGGTAAGGATAGCTTCTGGTTTAGAATTGTTCAGTCTCAGAATAAATGAGGTGCATTAAATAGGTGTTTATCCAATAAATATTTGTGGCTTTTATTGGATGATCAGGGTCTAAAGAAACAAAGGATATAAAAGTCTTTCTTTTATATTTTACTTCCCTGTGGTAAAAAATAGAGCACGTTCTTGCATCCAACAATGTGGAAAAAAACCCCATAACCTAAACAACCAAAAAACTCTGTAAGCAAAATCAAATTTATTTCTGCAGGAAGGTACAGTTCAGCTTCTCCCTGGAAGGGAACACCTTGGGGCAATGCAGCATTTAAAGCTCTTTGCAATGGCTGAGCTTTTACAATAACTGTGTAAGCTAAATATTATCCTTCTGCTGTTCATGAATAAACCACCTTCAAAGAAGCTTAAGTACTGTGTGCAAGGTCACAGCAGACAAACTTTTTTTTAGATTGAGGGGTTGGAACTGGGGAAAACTGGACAAAGTTTCAGAACACAAGCCCTCTTTACCTACTGTGAGAGACAGGGAGCAGAAACCTCTGCCTATGCCTAAAATGAGAGGAAAACATTGAAAATGCTGATCTTGACCTGCTCTGTGAACATCTAATATTAATGCAGCAGTGCTGGGACAGCTTGATTATGGTACATATGGTAAATAATATTGGTTATATTTTAATCAGAAAAGTATTTTAAATTTGCCCCTAATAAATTTTTTTTTTGCTATCAAAATGTAAGTTGTTTTGAAAGACTTTTTACATTTTAGAATGCATCTCAATGTAAATTTTAACAGCAACATAAGATTAATGATAATTTAATTCTGGGCAAAAAGTCATTCAAGGTATACAGTATGTTAGAACTTAAGTGAAAGGATTAAGTTCAAACAGAAAGTGTTAGTCCCAAAAGGTGGTAAGAACTGTGATACAGACTAAAAAGAGGGGTCAGAAATAATTTCAAGAATTTAAAAACATGTCCACAAACTTGAGAGGGATAACTCTTATCTGTACTTAGATCATTCCACAGTAGCTTAGGCAAGGTTTCTGCAGAACTGAAGATAAACAGTTAAAGCATTCCGTGATCCAAAAGAGATGCAACTGTTGAAAACAAACATAATTTCTGTTAATGAAAATCCAAGAAAAGTGATGCTGTAAACAGGGAGAGGTGGGTCTTCTCAAAAAGAAGGATGAAGATATGCACACGTGATTTTAAAGTCTCATTTATTTAATTTGTTAAAGAAATTAAGATACATTAAATAGAGTTTCTACAATACCAGTTTGCATTACTAGCAAAGTTCATAATACATTCATAATAGCTAAAACCATTGCATTTTGTAAGGATTTTCCATTGCCTTAGCATCTCCTGGATAAGAATCTCACATCTAAAACAATGCTGAATTAGCCCTCACAACAGCCCTGTGAGGTAGAGGTCAGTGTTACCCTCTTTCTACATAAGAGGAAACTGAGAAACAAAGTTTTAGGTCAGTGTACCAGAAAAACCACAGAGATTTGAGGAGCAGAATTCCAGTCTTTCACTCCTTGTACTGTGCTCCACATCTCTTGTCATGCTTCCCTGGAGAAAGGAGAGCAGCCACAGCAGCTGCTGTTCTCCCTTCTCCCCACTTCCCTTGGCCTTGTACGTCCTGATTTCTCCATCTCAGCTGATGGAAAGTGATCAACATCAGCCATTTCTACCTGAACTACACAGACAGAACAGGCCATGTGGCCCAGAACTCAAGGAGCTGGGAATCGACTGTGGGTAGTCACAGGGAACATCACAGTATTGAGTACCAGAGTCAGAATTTTGTCCCTAAGTTGCAGAACCAACACGTGGCTGTTCTAAAGCAATTTTGCAGAGGTAAAAGGACTCAGGAGTGCTGAAGCCTTGTGTGTGCTGGGAGCATCCCTGCCAGGCAGCCCTGGGGCAGGGAGGGTCTGTGCAGCAATGCTCACTCAGGGCAGACAAGATCTACCCATGTTAGGTCCCTAAAGGAAACAAAATAGCTGCTCTCTGTAGGGCAGACACTGAAGGAGGTCATATTGCAGAGCATAGCGCTGAGCTGAGGTAGAATCTGAGCAACTGAGGAACACAAAACACACCTGGATCACTACAGAGGAACTCCTCAACCAAACTGACCCTGACCAGGGCACTGTGGTCCTGTGTTCTGCATGGGCTGAAAGGACAAATACCTAAATAACATTGCAATAAACTGCTCTGCTTTTCAACAAAGCATTACATTGTAAGATAGCATCTTAGAACAGTAGATTTAAAATATATATTTAATTTTCACACCAGGGCCTACTTGAAGTGAGTTAAGAACTTTTTTCTAGTGCTACTCATACGTGTCATCAGGCAGCAAGAATCCAGTGAAAGCAATCTTTAAATCAGAGCTCAGCAAATGGTAAGGATCAGTAAGGAAAATTTAAGACCAGTTCGTCCAAAATTCTTGATTACTGTTTCCTCACGTATCAAATGAGACAAGTACAAGTTGTGGCCATCGGCACTAATAGATCACTACACAATTTTCCATTTTATATAAAGTTGGATTTTTAATGTCATTTTAAATTCATAGAGTTTCAGGTCTTGGATAACAACCTAGTTCTCTCAGCTATCCCTTATATTAAATAGTGCTGGTTAAAAAGATGCCATTTGTCCAAAGAATGAGCACTTTAAATAAAATAGAAAGCCAGAAGATTATCCCTGTCCAAGGAGAGGGTTCATGGAAATGCCTGTCTTGGGTGTTCCATGAGTGGTCTGCAGACCAGAGTTTCTGTTTAGAGTATCTCACATGTGGAAGCTCTTGGATATCTCAGGGCCATTATCAGTTTTCTTCAGGCCTTGAAGGAAGCTCGAACAATTCTCCCCTTCAGAGGCTGAGGGGGGCGAAAGTTATTGGCCATTTGGATCCTCTGGTCTTCCTCACCGGTGAAGAGCAGCATGCGGAATTTCTCCAGCTGGAAGTTCAGGGGAAACAATTCACTGCTCAAGGGGGCAATCAACAGTAATGTTTTTTTAAAAAGGACTAAAAGGAAATGTTCAGTATATTTTAATCAGTTAATTGAACAAGTTCAAGCAAAGCTCCTAGAGAGTATTAACAGAAATTGACAGAAGCCTGAGGATTAAACAGGCCAAATATTCAGAGACTTTTAATTTGGCCTAATCTCAAATCACAACAGTCTTTTCCTGCTTATCCAGCATTGAATGCTACAATAACAGAGAGTATCAGAAATTTACCTGTTTCACAGAGATTCTTATGGGCTCTTTCAGCACTATCCATGTCACACTCTCATTAAGGGGTGGGGTTGTCAGAGAACCGAGGTACGTCCAATAATCTAGACTCAAGGGCAGGAGACATTTAGGATTGAAGCCTCTAAACTGAGCTTTTGTTCCCTGGGAAAAGAAAATAGACTTGAAATTTATCCTTTTAAGTGCAGGTAAAATACCTTTTTTGAGAGAAGAAAATGCTGAAGTAGCCTTAAAAATAGGGGAAAGGAAAATTATGTTAAGGTTTGTCTGCCTTACAACTGTTAGCCAAAAGTAGATGGCAAGTGTGATGCCTAATGCTGGCTTACTGGACTTGGAGGTCCTGCACCACTGATCTCTACCAAAATTCACCTCTTGTCACAACAGGCCCAAAAATAATGCAGGAAGTGTGTTCTGTATATAGTGTTCAGTATGAGTATAGACAATATCACAGCAGAGTTCCTAGTTTCATTACTTTCTCATCTATTTCAGTAGCAAAATTTAAATCCTACAGTTATTGTCTGCTATGGTAAATATTGGCTTTAAAAAAAAAAATCAAACCTTCAAGTCTAAAATTAGAGGAAGGTGGATTGATAGAGGAAGATACATCAAGCAAAAGACTGGTAGAAATAGAAAGGGGGTGTTGCCTAAAGCAGTGATTGCCTTAAGTACCACAGTCTAGAGCAACATTCTTCAGGCTGTAGGAGGATCCAAAAGGATTATTTTGCTGAGTCTAAGAGATGAGTCTCAAGGGTCAGGGAGCTGTGGATTTTAGACTTTTTTGGGAAAGGAAAAACCTCTGGATGATCAGTGGGGTCAGCATAGCCTTGTGAGGCACCTGAGATTAGAAAAATAATATGAACTTTGGAGGAGAAAAAGAAGCTACAACTACAGTTATGTTCTAGTTATGGGAGGATCTGTGGGCGGGCGATCTTTCATTTTTGTCTCAAAGATGTACATGAGCGTGATTTTTAAAGGATATCCCAGAAGCAAATTTAAAAAGCTTAGAACTTACTTTAAATTTTACCATGTATAAAGCATCAGTGAGTCTGTTCATACTGGCATGTTCCTTTCCAATCTAAAAGAATGGAATAGACTGGTTAAATAAGGACTACAACTACGCTTTAATTTAGGGGTTGCTTTCTTACTCAAATCTTAACATTCCTACCAAAGTTTTCAGCAATTTGCAATGCATTAATGCTTCCAGTAAGTTGTCTGTTTTCCTTAAGCACTTCTTAAATATGTGGCATAGTCCTCAAACACTTTACAGCATAATGCTTTTTATCATGTAAACATGCTATTTTTACAATTCTTACCTCCAAGAAAACACCAACTACTGCCAAGCCATCTGGAGCTGCTGCTGCCTCTCCAAATGTTGCATATTTTCTGGCATTCCAATGTACTAAGTGAAGCTTTAAAGAAAAATAACAAATAAGAATTAAATTAGCAATCGAAGTTATGAACATGGTTTCTCATTGATAGCACTAGCACTTGTTCATAACAGAACAGTTTTGTGTCAAAGGCATTGATGGCAACATGAAGCAGTTCAATCCTTTGGACAGGTCCATGAGTGTGGGCAGGAACCAGGCAAGTTTTCTGTAACAGCCCACACGGGGGTGGCATGGCCAGGCTTTGGGAGTGGGAGGGTACAGGGGTGGCTTCTGTGAGAAACTGCCAGAAGCTTCCCCAGCTCATGATCACAAGGAAGGGACTAGGCTGGAGCAGCTCCTGAAGGACTGACTGCACCCATGCAAAGGGACCAGGCTGGAGCAGCTCCTGAAGGACTGACTGCACCCATGCAAAGGGACCAGGCTGGAGCAGCTCCTCAAGGACTGACTGCACCCATGCAAAGGGACCAGGCTGGAGCAGCTCCTGAAGGACTGACTGCACCCATGCAAAGGGACCAGGCTGGAGCAGCTCCTCAAGGACTGCAGCCCATGGGAAGCTCTCGGGCTGGAGAAGCTCAAGGAGCTCACTGTCCCCTGTGGGAGGGACCCACACTGGAGCACAGGAAGATGTGAGGAGCCCTTCCCCTGAGGGGGAAGGAGCAGCAGAGACAGCCTGGGATGAGCTGAGCACAGCCCCCATTCCCCATCCCCCTGCACCACTCAGGGCAGAGGTGGAGAAAGCTGGGACTAAAGTTACACCCAGCAAGAAAGGAGGGGTGAGGAGAACCTGTTTTAAGATTCAGTTTTTATTTGTCATTATCCTACTCTGATTTGGTTGTTAATAGATTTTTTTGTTCTGCTGTGTCAGTAATTGGTGAGGGAGCTCTCCCTGCTCTTATCCTGACTCACAAGCCTTTCCTCATGTCCTTATCTCTCCTCTCCCCATTCAGCTAGGAGGGCAGGGATAGCTAACCTTCCCATGATGAGCAAGGAATCAGAATCCTAATCCTGCCCCCACTGCAGACAAAGTCATGTGACAACATCATTTGCATGAAATAATCCCATCTGTGAAAATGCATCCTCCTTACCTCACAAGGAAAAGGTTTTCCATCAATGGTGTGCTCTGATCCCTGGCTGTGTGTGGTGCCCCAGTGGAAGTGGAACTGCTTTAGCCGGAATGGATTCTGAAAGGGCCCTCCACTGATTGCTAGGCAGAAGAACACAAAAAAAAAAATAAAGAAGCTTAAGCATTCTGGCTTTTCAGCTTCCTGCTAGTAAAACTAACCACTATTGGCACAATAGTGGAAAAAAGCCAGCAGCCTCTCCCAGCGTGCAAAAGATGCATCATCCAGGCATTTAAAAGGGATGGATTTATTCATGGAGAGCATCAAAACTCATTTGAAAATGTAAATTAAAAACACTGTGTGGCTACCTGTACAGAATTTCTAGCTGTCTTGAAAGAGCATATTTGACACATGAAGATGTGGTAACCACACTTATGCCTTTCCTGTTAAACACAATAAATACAAGTGGAACAGATGGAGCAGCCCTGGGAGAGGGACCTGGGGGTGCTGTGGGTGAGAGCTGGCCCTGGCCCAGCCCTGAACCCCCCTGCCCTGGGCTGAGCCCAGCGTGGGCAGCAGGGGAGGGGATTCTGCCCCTCTGCCCCTCAGGTGAGAGCCCACCTGCAGAGCTGCCCCAGCCCTGGGACCAGCACAGCCAGGACCTGGAGCTGCTGCAGAGAGCCCAGAGGAGGCACCAGGATGAGCAGAGGATGGAGCAGCTCTGCTGGGAGGAAAGGCTGGCACAGCTGGGATTGTTCAGCTGGAGAGGAGAAGGCTCCAAGGAAACCTTATACCCTGAACATCAGCTAGACAATTCAGATAAGTATTTCCTTCTTACAGTATCTTTACTTTCAGTGGAGGTTATCTATATTCCATTTCCTTTAAATACCTGATCCCATAAAAGAGGAAATATAATAGCTGGTACTTCACACGACACCACTCAACCTCAAATCACCTTCTAAAGGTAAGGAAATGCCACAGAGACACTTCATACATCATTTAGAAATAACACCTAAGCACAGACAAATGTTTAAGATGCCACCTATAGAAGATATTTTGTCACAGCATCAGTAATCCCTGTAATTTTATATGCCACCAAATCTAATACACTTTGTCCAACAGACCTCAAGACTGGATCAGAGTCTCACATTAAGAAAATTAAAATTACATTTAATATCGGTACAGCTTGTATCCTCAGTGCAGTTCATAACATTTTATTTAGAGTGAAAGCTGGGGCTTGCACAGTGCTATACCACATGTGCATGCTTCCAGCTGGCCTTGCCAAAGCAAAGGTTTTAGTATTAATTAAGGATATAAATACTCCTAGTACGTTTTTCTAAAGTTAGCAAAAGAATGCATCACCTGTCCCTAATATTTTAAGAAGTTTACCTATTATGGATTACTGTCAAGATTCTGTTGTGTCATTTATGCAGAGCTTTGAGTCACTAGATCTATTTATTTCAACACAACTAAAAGCAGTTTAAACCATGTTTCCCACTCCTAGCAGTCATCTTCCTTGAAAAAGTGTTATTGAAACAAGACATGCTTAGTGTAGAAAGGGTCTCATTCCTGGCAGGTGCTCTGAGTCTGTGCCTCTAAGTGCAGAGTAATAGATGTTTTTAAACTTCTAAAGCTTAATAAAGTTCGCTGTTACACAGATACAGTTCAGCTGAAAATTGCATTGAAGTAGTTACCAAGATAAGATAATACTTCCAGAGAGGTTTTACAAATTCTATTTGTAGGGTGACACTCTAAACAGATCTGCGCAGTAAAAGTGGAAAATGCTCATCCAGTCTTCTTTGCAAGTTCAGTAAAGATGCTTAAAAACTTGACCATCCCATTGAGCAAGTTCTTAAATTCATTCCAGAAGAGAAATTTTAAAACAAGATGTCTGGAATATTGACCTTTAGGCCTTATTTCAAAGGGTTACCAGGACAAACAAGCCACTTCACAGAAAAAGTAATTTGTTTTCAATATCAAGGTATCCTACTTAGCTTGCATCAATCAGCACACCCAAAAGGAAGATTAAATCAGCTGATAAGTTTACGAATTGTTCCAGTTCTTTTTGGTTTGTTTTTTTTTGGTTTTTTTTTTTTTTTTAATGCACTCTTTCCATTTATCAGCTGCTTTATCATCTCCATTTGAATGCTCTTCCCCTACCCCCAGATGTAAAAGCACTACCATGGAAACAGACCCAACAGAAGAAATAATCAATCACTTAAAGAATTTACATTCTCCGCCAAGGGCTGAGACAAGAATAATGTACAACTGCAGCCAGTCCAACATCCAAAGCTGGCTGCTACCAACTCAGAACCCAGAATGAGCTGAAGATTTTCTAATTTCTGAAGAAACTGAAGGCCTACAAGTCAGGGAGGAAAGAAGAAAATGTAAGGTAACAGTAACCTGTCCAGGTACAAATTGGTGCAGCGATTACGATTATGATGACCCAGCTCTGCTTATCCTCTTCCCTTCCCTGTGGGTGGGAGCTGGGCACTGAGCCAGAGCTGGCACGTGAATTGGCATCTTTGATTGGGGTGATCAAAACCAGGGCACTGAGGAGCTTACATCCCCGCTCTGGGTCCTGGATGTGGTCTGGCAGTGCTGGAGAAATGCCCAGCAAACTTCAATTCTCATCTAAAAGAAAAGAACTGCAACCAAACCTCTCATTTTCCTGACGCAAGAGCTTTTCCTAATGAAGGAACACTTATTGATCTGTGATATTGCATTGCTAGAGAGGCTGCAAGTGAGGACAAAATATAAACAGCTCCAGTCACATGCCTTGTTCTGAGCTGAAATTATACATCACAGAAGTTACTCCGTACAGAATGTGCTTAATTACTTCCCCCACTAAGTCCGGAGCTGGTGTTCTGAGTTAGCTGGCTGTGCTAGTCTCACCTGCCCTGTCATCAGTGTCCTCAAACTCCACCATGACGGAGTGGCCCGTGTTGGAGATGCTGAGGGAGGTGCAGCACTCGTAGGAGATGATGAGCGGCTGCAGGCTGGGGTCATACACTGCCCGTGCAGAGTCGATGTCGATGGGGGACTGGCGGTTCCCCTGGGCAATGGGGTAAGCTTTGTGCCACTCAGCAGGGCCTTCAACAGCAAGCAAAGGAAAGCAGCATTATTTCCTTCCCACCATACACAGAATGGTCATTATGGGTTTGCAGGAGGCTTTAAATAAAGCTTGCTCAGCAAGAGTGACTCCAATGTTTGGAATGTGAGAAATTAATTTAAATTCTAGGCTGGTGTGGTTTTATTAGCACAAGCAGGCTGCAACAAGATGGGGATTCAAATATCTTGTCCAGAACACACTGAGGAGATCATGGCAGAGACTGCTGTACCCGAGTCACCTGTGCCACTCTGTCTCTGCAGAGGCTGCAGTTACCTTGGTAAGGTGTTCCAAGGTGGGTACAGGGGTAAACATTTGCATGCACAAACACACTCCCCAAAGAAAAAGCATTTAATTCTCCCTGGGAAAGAGAGTGTAAAAGCTCCAGCAATTCAAATTAGATGCAGATGACTCAATCTCTTAGCTACTGACTATGCAGTTATTTTTAAATAATTTTATGACTGCAGTAAATCTTTGAGACAGCTCCATTCTTCACTCATGCCCCTTATGGTATCTCTCTAACCTGAGTGAAGGATACAGGATGATAATTAATGCTTTGGGACTTCCTGACCTCAATAGAGAGGGGGAAAAGCCCAGTTGAATATCAGAACTCTGCTGCCAGAGCTGGAAGATTCTTAAGCCATTTGAGATAACGAAAGCCTATCCATATCAAAGAATTCCTATCCATATCAATGAATTCCTGTTTCTTATGGCTCATTTTCTACTTTGCTATGGTAGTGAAAGCAGCAATTAAATTCCTCTGCTGCTTCTGTGCATGAAGTGTAACAGTAACAATTGTAATTCAGGATTCTCAAGAAGCACATTTTTAATTGTAGCAGTCTCACATATTTTCACAAGGGGAAGCTTTTTTTAAATCAAGCACAGGTATTTAGCCTCCTTGAGTTTACATAACACAACAGTGATCTATTACACTGTTACTTGGCTTTGACACTTTCTGCTAAGCTTATAAAATAATATCTTTTCTCAGCCTGCCTAGAAAGCAGATTTAGGAATTAAATGCTCTTACACAAGCTAAGGCAATATCATTTGGCTCTCACAAGCTTCATAAGAGTACCCATAGCTCTATTCTCCTAGCTACAAGCACAAATACATAACATTACTTACTAGCACTAACCAGCTTCACTTGCTATTCAAACTTGCTTTCAGACTCACAGAATTGTTCAGAAACAAAAGGAATTGCTGTTAAGAAAGAGACTGACCCCTGAAGGTTATACAAAAGACTCTTGTTGGACACTCAGCAGCTAAAATAATTGCTGCAAGGAGAGAGACTCCTGCAAGTTATGCAATTGTCTCATTGGCCAGCATCAGCCACTCATCCACCCTGTCTGTAAAGGATCCAGGCACTACACAACACTACTGTGGCAATCTTTCAGGAGCTCCACATCCCCCCCTGCGCTGTGACACGCATCCTTGGAGGTGGGAAGCAAAGGAGGAGGACTAAATTAAAATCTGTCAAATCAGAAAGCATAACTTGTTCTGTAAGAGATCTGATACTGATCTGTACAATTTATTGATGTACTAGACATACATAACATATAGCTTATTTTATTCACTTTTATGAAAGCCTAGATATCACATTTCAGCAACTGCACAGATCTGGAGATCTATTACTGCTCTACTAAATCCTCTTTACCTAACAGAAGTGCTTTTGGAGAGAGACACAGGTAATCTTTTTTATAACAGCATTTTGGAAAGGGACCCATCTGTAATATCTGCAGTCTGAAAAAAACTCAAAGCATTCAAACTGCTTCCCTCAGTTTAGGAATGTTGATTGCAACACTGAAAGGCAGCAGACGTAAACTTGCACATCTTTTGGTGCCGCTTTCTGGGTGCTATTGATTATCAATAAAGTAATTAATTACCTGCTGTATATACTTGATTCTTGCAGACATCAAAATGCAGGCAGCTCTGCAGGGCTCAGGCAACAGCTCTAGAAAGAAAACGAGTGGGGGAAGACAAGAGAGATGCAGCACGGAAATGCCATAACCTACCGTCAGCCTGCCCATATCCCCAACTGTGGTGGCCAGTCATTTTAGGAGCTGCCCCTGCTTGGCTCCAGCTCCCTGAGCAGGGCACTGCTGCCTACCTGCCTTTATAGCGGCTCCCCGTGGGATAGGGTCAGCCCCTTAAAGATACAGAGCAGCCAAAGAAATTCCTGCAGGACAGGAAAAGCTCCCGTGTTCTCCAGCTCCAGCCTTCCTGCTCCTGCTCCTGCTCCCCCTATTTGCTAAGGCAGTACAGGTGAAGGAAAATGTAAAATTCAGATAACTGAAGTCTCAGGACTTAGAGAGAAAGCCAAACTGTGGATCAAATTTAGGAAAAGACATCAGTGTTTTCTCATTCTCTGCCCCAAGGAAGAAAAAGCCATAAGGTGCTCTGAGCATCAGGACAGTCCTGTGCAGGTGGGACTGGTGCTTCTCACATCTGTGTTCTGCAGTGGGAAACATCACTGATCACTGCCTCTCTTCTGAAACCCTGCTGCCAGCTGCAGAAAAGGAATGGTGTTTTCACCAGATCTGTAATTAATCACAACTGGTGCTTAGATGAGATGGAGAACATTCTCATCTTGGAAAAAACTTCTTGTGCTGCTTTTAAACAAGGTACAAATCAAACAAAGGATTAATTGACAATCTGATTTTAATTTTGCAACTTTAAAGAAACATTTTAAATGGACAAAATTAGAAGCGTGATTATATTAGGGACAGAACATAGCAGACTCCAGAGAAAGGAGTTGATCTGTGAAGCCTCAGTTACCTGGAATGATCCAGCAGTTGTCTGCACCCTGCTAAAGCCATGGAGAGGCTACAGTGGGACACCCAATCTGCAGCTGTAAAATGTCTTAAGACGTCTCTGGGGCAAGGATAAAAGCTCCTTCATTGTAAATTTGTTAGATCTGAGGAAATGCTCTCTGTCAAGGCTACATTTTACAAATACATTGATTTTCACAAAGACAATAGCACACAAAAATAGGGATTCTTCTATTATGGAATCAAGAATATGGAAGGAAGAAATCAATAACACCATTTTATGCAACTTTTATGTTGTGGTACTGCCTTGTAAGTATTAATTTTCTTTTTCAGGAGGTTTCCATGACAGTCACCTGTAAAACCTTTAAGAATTGCTGATGCCAGCTAAATCACAGTTTGCATCACAGAGGGATGCAAACTGCTGCAAAGGTCTCCACAGGAGAGTTCTACAATGACTTACTCAGGTCTGCTCCTCAACGTGTTCCAGGTCCAAGCTGGCGTGACCTGCTCAGGTCCCTGGCACAGACACTGGCTATGGCCATGTCCCAACAGTCCGGGCACACAGGCCCTTGTGGGCACCCAACACTGGAATAAGAACCTTAAAATACTCACTCAGATGCAGAGTCAGGAAAGCTGTTCTAGGGAAAAGTACAAAAAATACCAATACAGCAGTGAAAAGAAATGGAAGAGGGATTTTTGTGCTTTAAAAGAGCGGATCATAAGCTGGGGAAGCCCACATGCAAGGCAGAGAATGCTGAGCAACTGTTTTCAAGAGAAACAGCAACACTGTGCTCAGGTGAGCCCGCAGGGCACAGGGGCACTGCAGTGCCCAACCTGCACTGGGCACCATTGACCCCTTCAGCTTTTATCTTCTCCCTCAAACCCACACAGGTCTCTGCAGATCTGGCACAGGAAGAGCTCTGAGACAGGTGAAAATATCCTCAAGACATGGCAGGAAGCAGACTCCACAAAATGGAGTTTTAAATGGATGGATTTAAAAAAGTGGAAAGGGGGAATGACAATACCTGAGGGGAAAGGAAAGAGAGCCTGAATAAAACTTTAGCTTGTAAAATGTATCATTAGTAATGATAGTCAGTGTGTACATGACAACTTTATGTACTTCCAACACAGCCAGCCTTCTTTCTTTATGAGGAAAATATTAAATTTTCCTTTAATATAAGGTAACAGTCCTGCTTACATAAATATCACGTTATTCTGTAACCCTGATACCTCTGGATATTGGCTGACTCTAAGAATGGGTTTTACTGATTCTGTCCTCAAATTATCATTTATCACTTCAAAAGTGCAGTCATCATGTAATTCTGTTCTGTTTTACTAGTTTGAATCCAGGACAATTACGTCACACTCATGAACTTATGGAAGTGAAGACAACAGAGTGGTAGGTGCTCAAGGTGTGGATTTCTCCAATGCTGAGCTAAAAGCGACATGATTTCCACAAATTTCTCCTGGGCTCTTCACGCCATGTCAGAAGTGTCTGCTTCACAGTGAGTGATGGGAAGACATAATTCCATTCTCTACAGTGAGATGTTTCAAGGTGCCTTCAAACAGAAATCTGTCTTCCCCAACCTTCTCACTTAGAGTTTTATTCCCCTTTGCCAGGAGTGATGAGAGAACAGAGCAGCAGCCCAGGACAAATATAGGGGTTCTTCTGAACCTGTCACCAGGTTTTGATACAGAACTAACAACGAATGCTTCAGGTTCTCCATCTTTATATATAGAATTAATTTTCTTTATGATTTAATTGGAGCTCCCTTTACCAAATTGCCATAATAAGGACTAACCATTATGGTTAGAAAACTCCAAGATTGGAATGCTGAATTGAAGTTGGACATATTTAAGCTTTGCAGTTTTGAGGAAATTGGGGAATTTAATCTCTAAGGCAAAATGTCTCTATAATACTACAGGTCTTCAATTGTTGTGAGGTTGTTGCACATGGAGATGCCATTTGAGGATAATGCTTCTGATAAATATTACTGCATCACTGTGGAGGGGCAGAGCTGCATTTTAAGGTATGTAAGATAAAGTAAGAGTTATTTGGTTCCAAGGTGAATGGCCCACTGGCACTCTAAGCGTATTAAGTAACTTGGCAATTACATCTGCTGACATCATTAATAATGGTAACACGTTTGAGCAAGGTGCCATGTGCCTTCTTTAATGCACCCTGGTGTGTCTGGTGTGTGACTGCGTGCCAACAAAACCAGGTTAGAAATCCCACCAGTATGGGTGCAGGCTGCACGCTCCGAGCCGCTCACGTACCATGGGCAGGAGCAGATGAAATGTTAAATAAAACATTCATCACTCCAGAGCCTGTCTGTGCCTCAGGTTCTTGACAGAGTATCTGTTTATCCAGGCAGCTCCTCTCTCCTCTTACATTGCCACCACAGATGCTGGCAGCTCCCACAGGGGATTACTCTGAGCTGGCATCTGTTCTTTACATGTGTGCTAAAGGCATTTTGAACGAACCCAGGAGCTGCACAAAAATACTCCACACAGTATATATAAGCAGAACAGTGAACTGCCAACACTGAACACTAAAAAGCACAAACATTCTAGGTACTTTTTTGTATTTTTTAGTATTTTATTTTAAAACAGACTGCCTACAGTTCTTGGTTGACCACAGAAATTTCAGCTTTTAAATTCTCAAGGTCTTCCCTGCAAACACAAAAAAGTGATGGCTGTTGTATATATATTGACATATTGATATTATATACATATATATGTATATTGACAAATTGAGGTCATATACATATATATGTATATTGATATATTGAGATTCTCGTGCAGCCAATGGAACTTCAGGAGCTGAAAGTGGTCATCCTTCTCCCACAGCTACAGAGATTTCTGAGAGTCATGAGATTTCTAAGGGAAAAACTCAACTGGGAATCTCCTCCTGGCACCGGGGGAAAACAAAAAAATGGTGCTAAAGTGAAGAAGGGATTAAGAAAAAAAGGACAAAAAGGACATGCATATAGTTAACAGACAACTAAGCAAGAGAGAAAGCTTCAAACAAACAGGGGCCAAGACGGCCAAGGGAATAGAAGGAATTTAGTAGGAACACTAGGGAAAGTGGGGTAGAAAAGGGGGAATGAGGCACTTGGTTCTCTAGGAGTTTCCCAGCCTTCATACACCATTTTTTTTATTACATTTTTTTGACTTTTAAAGCTATACACACTTGGCTGCCTTATACTAGGGATGGGAACTACATTCTGGAACTAAGCCTGAAATATTAATTGCAATTTATGGATTGTCCAGACTAAGCAGTGCAGTAGAGAGCAAGAACAGGAGACTGCTTTTAATTTTGGGAAACAGAATGTTCCTGAAATCCAGCAATGGTCACTGAAATGACAGCAAAAGGAAGTATTTACTGTGGCACAGCAAACACAAAGCCTGAAAAATGAACTTTGCTGGAGATGCTGTGTATGGGAAACAAAAGAGGAAGCACTGTTTTGTAGTACATCACCTGCAAGATGTAAACCACTCCATGTAATAATGCACTCCTGTGTACATCATTCCAGCAGATATACAGAAAACTAAAGTTACTGAAGGGAGGCAGATTAAAAGGATAACAGACTTCATAAGGACTAACAAATCAGTGTGAACAATGCAGGTATTTCAGGACCTCTCTTTTGTTGTTGAAACTTAGTGCCACAAATGTTGGTTGAAACCTTTTAAGGTGTGGAAGATTTCTCCTTTTTTGTACACTGTCAAAGTCCAACCAATGCTGATCCTATATGGAAAGATCTTTGTAATAGAAGCACATAAGAACAACAGATTTCACATGTTCTCGTCTCCATACTAAGCAGGAGTAACTGCAATAATGTGCAACATCTCTGCAAAACATATCCTACTGGATTTTCCTGACTGCAGACACCTTTAGGGCTTCTGCCTCAGTGTCACGATCCGTCCTTACCAACGGGTATTGCGGTGGTTCGTTAATTGATCTCAGAGTGCAAAAAACTGACACGGCAAGGGGGGTTTGCAGTGATAATCAAAAACAAATGTTTTTAATTATTTTGGACAGAGACTTACACTCAGTCTGCCTGAGAATGTCTCAAAAGTCCATACAGAAGGTGCATCAAGAGATGCAGAGAAATGCCCATTTTGATCATAAATTCTGATCATGGCACTGTTGTCCAGACAAATTGAATCCATTACTATGCAACAGCCAGTAAATGCACACTTGAGAGAGACACTGATTGTCTATTTCAGAGTTGCCAAGCCTCGTGCTCAGTGGTGTTCCACAAATCAAGCAGCCCAACTATC